CTGATAGAATCCCAAACTAGAACTCATAAAATTTAGATTTTAAACTCTATTATTATTAATTAATTTAAAATTATTTTAGATTCCACAATAAATTTTAAATTCTAAATTCACCTCTTTTACCTTTCTTGGTTAATTGGCCCCACCCTCACCCGTTGAATTTTAAAATTTGTCCTAAATAAGTAACTATAGAGATATTTTTGAATAAAAAGTATAACTACAGATGGATTTTTAAACCAAAATTATAATAACATGAGCACTTTTAGATCAAACTATTAATAAAAAATATTTTTATTTATTTTCACATAGTTTTAAACCTTAAAGACATTCTTGATCATTTTCTAATTAGTTTAAGATTAATGCAAAAAACCTGATAAATTTAAAAATCTGAATTCGCCTCTTTTGCGTTTCTCGGTTAATTCTCCCTACCCCACAAGAATTTTTTTTTAAAAAAACTCCCCATGATGGCAATTATTCGTAGTATAAATATCAAAGTAAGCCTTAATATGAACCACACATAAAAAAGAGAAAATATTATTAGTAGTAGCTAAGAAAAAAAAATGGTGCAAGAAGAAATAATGAGAAGAGGTCCATGGACAGAAGAAGAAGATGTGCAGCTTTTATTTTATGTTAAGTTATTTGGAGATCGACGATGGGATTTTCTTGCCAAAGTTTCAGGTTTGAAACTAAGGTGATTGGCGGGAGACAAATTATAAAAAAAAAATACATCATAGTATATATGTATAATATTAGTACAAAAAATAGTCTTCTCTTTTATCCCAAATAACAGTTAAGTTTCTAATCTCTTCTTTAATAACTTTTAATTTTACTTATTTTAATTTTTTATATATATAGTTGTTTGTGATGTATTTATGTTTATATATGTTTAGGGTTGAAAAGAACAGGTAAGAGTTGTAGGTTACGTTGGGTTAATTATTTGAATCCTGATCTCAAACATGGAAAGATGACTCCTCAAGAAGAACGTCTTGTTCTTGAACTTCACTCCAAATGGGGAAATAGGTATTTCGAAATACTAACTTTTTAATTTTAATTTACTCGAAATTTATTTGTACTTTTTATTGTTATATTAGCAAATCGGCTAGTATTTTTCCATGGAGGAGCTCTAGCGTGGTTTATGCAATATATTTTAATATCCTTAGGTGGATTACACGTCTCAAACTATACTTTAGACTTGTTTTTTTGTTTCTTTCTAATTTATCATTTTCCTTTTGATTATTAGTTACAATTTCCTTGATTTTGGAATAGGGATCCCCATTAGCAACAAGCGCGGTAGTTATACTTTTAAGTTGAAATTTTGTTATATTCAACAACAAACACGAAGATTTTTATTTTTTTTTGTTATACTTCAGGTTGGACTTTTTGATGATTTTTTCTCTTTAATTCCGTATATATGATGTTACTTTCTTTATTTTTTATATTAGATGGTCAAGAATTGCCCGAAAAATACCAGGGCGTACTGATAACGAAATTAAGAATTACTGGAGAACCCATATGAGGAAGAAAGCTCAAGAACAGAGGAAAAAGTCTTCTATTTCTCCATCTTCATCATCTTCTTCTTCTTCTTCAATCACTCACGAAGAAAATGAAAGAAACTTTTACGATACGGGTGGAATCAAGCTCTTGCAACTTGAAGGAGAAAAAAAATCTAGTGATCAAGAACAACATGGAAAAAGTATGAAAGTTTACTCTATGGATGAAATTTGGAAAGATATTGAATTATTAGAAGAAAATGAAGAAAAAATGAATAAACCAATTATGGGGTCTATTTCACCCCTATGGGATTATTCCCTAGACTCACTTTGGAAAGATTTTGATTGGAGTAGCTTTCGATAGACACGTGACTCTGAATTAGACGAGACAACAAACTTCAACTATCAGATGGTTAAATTGAGGAGGGAAAAAGACGGGTTAATAGGAGGTTCATTTATTTGAAAAAAAACAAAAACAAAATTGTTATAGTTGGTTTTAGGTTTTACAAGAAAAATATTAAGTTCTAACTTGTATATTACTATTAGTAGTGGTGAAAAAAATAAGAAAAAAATCCCATGATTAGAAGGTGCTAGGCCTCTCTTAAGAGGATTAGTAGTAGTGCTTTGGAATTAAGTCTGTTATTGTAGCCATTTGATGATGCTTTGATTTAATTTCTTGTCTTTTAAGTCCGTTTCAATGTGAAATACTTTCACTATCCGGCAAATTTTTTATCTAGAGTATACGTTACATATTTATTTGAATTTAATAACGTTAGTTTAAATTTTGTATTTGGCTTAAGAAACTCATTGAATATATATAAATTATTAATTTAAAACTCTACAACGTAAAAAAACTAAATTTCAAATTCATAGATATCAAATCTTGATTTTGCTTCTATTTATCAAAATTGCTGAATTTTACCAAATCTGTAATCAACATACTAGCTCCGCCGCAGGTTCCAAAAGACTGGGGATCTGATTAGGATGCAATTAGAGTTAGTGCTGATTATAACTCTGTAATCCACTACTATTAGCATTAGCACAACTTTCATTTTGATACGGCAAAACGGAAGCCCATGATTGGATGATTAAAAAGATAGAAAATGTTCTCCAATCACCTTTGTGTATTAGACTATGATTTTTTTAATACCAATAATCCAAAGAGGAATAGTTTAGTTCCCACATAAACACGTAGCTATTTTCTTTATCACACAAATATAGTATTCATCATTCATTATAAATGGTACAATTTGTCACAATGATAAAGTTATGTACTATCCCTCCCACCCAATTATGTGATGAATAAATTATTATTTTCTCCGTTTCATTTTATGTGACACCATTTAACTATACAAAAGAGGTTAATATTGATTATTTAGTCGATGGAGAAAAAGTTAAAAAAGGGTGTTATATCAACTTTTTATTAAAGTGATAAGCATGAGTGGTTAGTGATATTTAGATGTTACTCACCAAAAGCAATAAAAAATAATAAGGGGACAAAAGATATGAGTGGATAGAATTGAATAATGTGTAGGAAGAATTCAATTAGCTTCTTGTTAATTTTCTAGAAGTGGTAAGTGGTTCTATGACTATATGCATATCCCTTTCATCTTAATTTATGTAATAGGTTTAACTTTTAAAATTTAAATTACATAAATTTTAATTAACATTTTAAAATATAATCTTTTATATATATATATATTTATCCTTCTACAATTAGAGATAGAATGTGAATATTTGTGCAAGAATAGACTTTTGATAATGTAACCTAAGTAATCAAATCTTTCATGAGGTGTTGGGTGGAAATGCGATTGACATTCTACTTTTATCGTTCGTTAAGTGAATTTTATTATAGTCGATTAATAGTGATTTTTGCTCTTAATAGGTAAATAACCACTAATAAAATCTTTAATTATTATTGTTTGGAAATCGAATACTAAATCAAACACTAAAACACCAAAGACAAATTTAATTCACTATCGAGATATGATCCTCTCATTGAAATCTGAGTACATTAGTCTTCTTGATCGAGGCATTTTTTTTTGGAAATAACACGTGTCAAATGAATAAAAATTTTGGGAGAGAGACTAGCCCAGACAAGTGTGATGAATTTGTTTCAGAGCCTTGTACACATCGTCTCTTACATTAGGGGAGTTGATCATGTCCGAAGTTGTTATCTTAACTGCAAGAAGGTGGATGCCAAAGACAAGACTAGAGACTGAAATGAAGTCGTAACAAATAGTTGTACTAAAAGGTGCGACTGAATCACCTCCTTTTCAGAAAGAGCTAATGCTAATGGGGTATTGCAAGTGTGGGACAACTGATCTACCCCTAGGCATAGCGGTAGATTGATGTAAAAAAGAAAGATAATCTCAATCTACACCACCACAACATTTAGAGCCAAAAACCCATTACCTTTATTGCTAAAAGTTATGAGCTTATTATGATAATGATAGTAGAATTTAACAATTGTACAACTTGGGAGCAAGTGTCCTGGTGGCACAATAATAGTAAAGATGTAGTATTGTCATATGTAACAAATGAACATTCCAAATGGTAAAGAAATTAAGCACATCCAACAAAGAACAAGTGGTGGCAACCAACAAACAAGGGTTTGGTGGAATGGCCTGGTAAGTACTTTGTCATTCTTAATCAAATTAGGTATCGAATTCGAGTCTCCTTTAGTGCAAAGTTACCTTTATTAGGGATAGCTTACCTCCCTCTCTCCATAAATTTTCCGGTGTAATCCAAATTTAATCGGACTCCAACGCAAGATACCAAACGAAAAAGAAGTGGTGGCAACTCCATCTATGTTGCCTCGGGTCAATTTCCATGTCATGCTACTCCCACTAGTATAGTTAAGTTTGAAATTTTGTACATTACATAACAGCTCAGCACAATGTACAATAAATAATAATTTTATTTTTTTAGAAATTTTAGTAAAAATAAAGTGTATAAATAGTATATATTGAAATTTGAAATGATCTTTATATTTTGTCTTCAAATATAATGATTTTAAAAATTTTTTATCTATGTAGTTAATTTACTTAAATTTATGGATCAAAGCGTCCATATCCACGACCTAATTTTATTAGGCATAAGTTTAGAGAAACTTTGCATTGTTGGGCATAAGTTGGATAGAAATTAAGTTATGCGACATAAGTTATGTAGTATTTCTCTGATCTAATCTTGCTAAGTATAGTTATAAAGAACTTTTATCTTACTCAACATAAAATTTGTCGAAATTCAGTTATGTCTTTTACGACGTAACTTATACGTTTTGAAACTGAAATTTTGCTTCTACCGACACAAGTTGGAACTAAGTTACGTCATAATTTTGAATTTAACTTTTGCCTTTACCAAGTTCTATAGAAAATAGACGACATAACTTGTTAAAGTGCCCTTTTTAAGGCATAATTCGTGTAATATTATAATATGAAAAATATAAATTTATGCTGAATAAAAATTATTTATTATTTTGATATCAAGATATTTTTGTGGGCCCTCTTGTTGTACTATTGGTTGATATTGAAGCTAAAATTGAGGACCAAATTTAGTACATGCCATAGGATTACCAAATTATCTCTAATGGCTAAATTGCAAACTCTTTATCTCTTCTCTTACAATTTTCTTCAGTTTCTTGGATGGTAAATTTCTCTTCCCTTTCACAATTTTAAATAAAATTATATTCATAATGTTCCAATATTATATGTGATGGATGACATGAAAATGTAGGACATTAGCCCTTTTTAGAATTTTGAGCAATTTTATTTCCACCAACTCAGTCACTGGGGTTTATGCTTCTGCTGGTGAACTAATTTGTGAGTTCCAATTTATTTATTTATTTCCTTAATTAATCTCAATCTCATTAAGAAAAAGAAAAAAATCTCTCATTTTTTATGTTCGAGTAAATTTGTGATCTTTATGGTAAAGGTTTGCTGCAATGTTGTGCATTCTTGGAAGTTATACATGGAGCTATTGGTAAAGTATTTTTAATTGGTTACATTTGACAATAGGTAGCTAGAGGTGGAGCCAGAATTTGAAGTTTATGAATTTGGAATACTAATTGTTTTTTTAGTTATTGGCTTCAAAAATAATAATTTGTACATATTCAATGTAGAAATTTAAAGTTTGAATCAAAGTTACTGAGTTTGGCTCCGCGGCTCCGCCCCTAGCTAGCTAGCTCATGTTCTAATTCCTTTTTTTTTGGGCTACGAAGGGATTGTTCCTACTGGGGTAGTGCTTCCTCTGATGCAATGGAGTGGACGAACTCATTTTTTGCTAGCAATTGTTCGTCAAATTGTTGAGGTTTTGTATCTTTCTTATCAAATCACACTTACTTTTATGCATTAGCTACTCGAATATGATATGCTATGTTGCTCTGACTCTATGAAAACGTTGTTGCACCCATGTCGGATACTCCAAAATGCACTGCTTTTGGAGGATCTGACTCGTACTTGGTGACATTTTTGAAGAGTCCGAGCAACATAGAGTACTTGCTGTTTTTACATAGTATCGTCGTGGGGCTAATTATTGGTGACAATAACAAGATTTATGGAAACTTAATAATGCAATGAAGTCTTTCTCTTTGCTAATCTGTTTTGTGTTAGCATTAGTATTTAGTAGTGAACACAAAGATGCTTCTTGTAGCTCCAGGAATCGCCTTCAGTGTTCATAACGTTTTCCGCTTGGAGCTTAAGTGAGGTGAGTTAATTTTCTTCATCTCTTTGCCTTTCTTACATGTTACTCTCATTTTCTTTTTTCCCTGCCTTCTCCCCCTCTTCTTAATTTAGTTGATTCGTGTGTTTAGAACTGTAAACCATTATCTTTGTGGAACTTACTTGCAATAACTTTAGAACTTACTCCCATTGAAAGGAATGGCTGGAAATGGAAGAAATCAATTGTGCTGGATGAACTTTTGATGTAAGTGAGCACATGGAGGGGACTATAAGGAGTGTATTTAATTATGATTGATTAAAGTATTACGGGACCACGTTTATTTACAGTTGGGAGATATATATGGAATGGGGCAAAGATTTCAACCAAATTTTTTGCTATACGAAACGATTCTCAATGCACATATTAATTCTTACCCAAGAAAATTGGTGGTTGAGTAGAAAACAAAGAAAAACAATGATGATTAGAAAAAATCGTGAGTTAGACTTTGAAGTGAGGTACCTTTCGTCATTTGTTCCCCCTAGACAAGCTATTGTGGAACTAACTCTGTAGGTGTGCATTGTACTTGCTAACAAGGCAGATCTGAGGTCAGTCTAACCTTGTAGTAGTGATGAGAAGTGATGGAGAAGGAAAAAGGCGAGAAATGTACATACTTGGAGATAAACGTGTCTGACCTGACTTATTTTTTTTCCCTTATTGTTCTATGTTCTTGTGAGACAACCTGTTCAATTCGCTTGTTAATCCTTTCGTTAGATAAATGCATGCGACCTGATTTATTGAAGATATTGCATCTTTTTAACTTCTCCAAACTGACAGTAGTTGGGGAAAGAAACGGTAAAACAGGACTGAGGTAGGCCACAGTGTGAGTTGTCTGATTCATATTATTGTACAAATACAGTAAGTGGTTATATTTACTCATACACATGCTCGGTAACAATAGTTTCCTATACGTATAAGAACAGAAACTACACTTAATCTTATCCCATAGGCCGAGAAAGATAGATTGACAGTTTGCTATAATGTGTAGAGGTATTTTCTTTGTTCAGTTTTCTGTCTGATATTGTACTTTTCAGCTGAGAGGCTATTTTGAAATTGAAAAACTTCTATTCAGTTACTGAAGCGAGTAAGATTGTTGAGAAGTTCTGCATTTAATTGATCCGCTGCATATGCCACATGACTGAAAGATGATACATGTGGAATTTACGTCATAGGTTTTGCTCAACCACGAGTCAATTTCCTTCTAGGCAATGCTCAGAATCATTTCTACCATTTGTATCTTGGCAGGAAGATTCTGTTCTCCTCTGTACTACTAATTATCCTATGTCGTCTTCATATGCTTATCTCCTTAATCCAACAAAGTGGTCAACTTTGTTTCACAGGAAATCTGTTTTTTACTCAGAAGTAACCAACAACATACCCAGTGTAATCCCACAAGTGGGGTTTAGGGAGGGTAGAGTGCACTGTACGCATGCAGACCTTACCCCTACCTCGTAGAGATAGAGATATTGTTTCTAATAGAACTTCGGTTTTAGATAAAGCATTTCCAAGCAGTTTGAGAAAAAGAATACATACATTAAAGAAGTAGCAACAACGAACTAATGTGAATGCCTCAAAAGTAGCCAACTGATGATAATTAAAACCCGTCACTCCCATCATCTTCAAGTCCTTTTCCATAAGTTACTCTAATATGAAAAACATATAAATTGTCATAATTAGAAACTCAGTGCATCTGCAAGGAAGTTAAAATGACTTTGTTTCTACTTCCACAAAAATACTTAAAACTGAAAATTCCGAACTCTTTTTTCCTATTCCTGTGGAGTCTTTTAACAGTCTAAAAAGGTTCGACATGTCTTCATAAGTTCTATCTCCCATTAGACCAGACACTTAATAATGCTATAACATTTTTCACGTCTGATAATAACGCTCGTTGTTTTTAGCTGTAGTCTTCACTCCTAAAGCTATCCTACAAGTTATAGAGTACCGGTTTGGTGACTTAGTGGTTTAATGCGTTTTGTAATATCCAATTGGTTACAAAAACATTATTGATTCAAAGCTAACCGTATCCACTCTATCCTTATTAATTTGCAAAGTTTTAGTGCACAGTAACGTTTAAGCGGTACTTTTAGGGAAAAGTATACTGAAATTGAAATGCCAAAAGCCCACCTTTAGGCAAAAGCTATCCTAAAGTAGCTTATACTGTAACGTGAAACATTGACAGAAACACGAACTCAGAATGTGATTCTAAGCTTTACGAACCTAATCTCAGGCACAAATATTTACTAGTTATGTTCTGTTTGAGTTGCAACAACTTTTCCATGTTTTGGTCTATACTTCATCCTTTTGATCGTCTTCCGTTGATCTTGCATGATGATAAACTTTAAACAATTATATGATCCTGTTTTGCTACTCAATGCAGGTGATCAGATACTCACACTATGCTTTGAGTTGCATTGGGAGTCCACCATACTTGATCACATACCTCAGGTTCGAATTCTCTTGCAGAAAATAATGCCTCTAGTTACTCAGGAGAGAGTATATTACTCGGAATTTTTTTGGTTTTGAATATCTTTTTGCCTATTAGGTACACTGCTTTCATTTTACTGTATCCCGTTGGAGTCGGACCTGGTGAAAGTAAGTTAACAATTTTGTTAACACTAATTTTATCATATTCATAGTATTTTATTTCATGCATTTCTTTTTGTAGTCTCTTTGTCTCGTATGTGTAAAATCTGAAAATCTTCGACTTCATTTCTATGCAGTATGGCTTATGTACCAGGCACTTCCGTTCATTAAAACGAGAAACCTGTATGCAGATACTCTTCCTTTCAGTTATTATAACTTTGTCAAGGTACGTTTCGATATCCTGAAAGAAAGAGTAATTTCTACTGGAACTTTAATACGCGAACAATTTTTAATGACGAAAGATAACTTTGGCTTTTGCCACCATAACGACGACCTCCTTCAGCTTTACTTTTGCATCAACTCTCTCCATTTCTTTAGACGAATTTCGGGGTTCATTCTGTATATAGCTTTGTTTCTTAGATCAGATAAGGCACTTATTCTGTCTAAAACTTTAAAATATAGAAATGCAACTTGCATTGTCCTGTAAATGTAGCAAGTAGATCAGCGTTTCCAGCTGATATTGGTGTGCATCATTCATATGAATGACGCGGGCTTGCTTTGGAAAATGCCCAGAGAGGCGAGCAGAGACAAATCTAGAATTTCTAGAACATGGACGCACTACTAAGAAAGGAGAAAAAAGAGAGTATTAAGTGGGAATTCCTTTGGGTATTAACACAACATTCAACTAAGTGCATCATTCAGCCTTTTTTGTAGCACGAGTGTCATCAGATAATATTAGATTAATTATGTGAAAACATGTACACTAAATACATAGTTTGACAGAAATACCATGGGTTCACGTGTATAGTAATTTTGGTACTAAATCCGCCCTTGAGAGAGAGATCCTACTTGCATATAAATAGAATGTTGTTTTGTTATAGACATAAATGAGCTTTTTAACTTGGCTGATATTTATGTCCTCTAACTTTAGGTGAGCACAAATAGACACTTAAGCTTGTATAAAGTTGAACAAGTAGACATAATCATCCTACGTGGCATAATACAAGTAGGACACATGTATTTGCTTGTTCAACTTTATACAAGTTTAAGTGCCTATTTATGCAAATCCAAAGTTGGAAGGCATAGATGTTAGCTAATGCCAAATTAAAGAGCACGCATATGTATCATGTCATAAAAATACTTCATTTTTTCATTTCTAACTTCAGGTTCTGCTTCTGTTATACCCTCTTCTATGGCTCAAACTTTATCTGCACTTGTTCAAGCAACGCCGATCAAAGCTGGGTAAATATCACAAGACAAAGAAGACATGAGAGTCCATGAAAACTTAAATTAAGGGTTCATTTACTTGGTGAGATAAGGATAATAATTTCAAAACAAAATGTGGATTATTTTATTTCGCATTTGGTTATGGATATTAACCAGTCATGAAATTATTTTATTCCAATATTTGTACTAAAATGATGGATTACATGTCCAATATAAAAGGCGAGTCAGCTAATCACATGAAATATCACAACTGATTGAATATCCTTGTCTATTCCATCCCATGGATCAAGTGTTTGATGCGTTTGTCCATCAACAGACTTTCTGCTGGTGAATGTTCAAATATAATTTGTTTATCTGAACTTAGTGAACTCTAAGCTTAATATCTATTGGAGAAACTTAACATTCGTATGCTACTATTAGAGAAATGGAACGTTATAGCAATTATACCTTATAGGTGTAAGCAAGTTTGAATTACTATTATAATGTATGATACATGCATCCTATACTTAAAAAATCATAGAAGAAAAGAGTTGTAAACCTTTGCGCATGTGAATTAATCCCTTTATTCACAAGATAATTTAATAGTGTTGCTTTGAGTAAAAATGTATCCAAGCTATAACCCAGATTACCAATTCCTTTCCTCACAAGACTTGTACGGTACGTTTGACATTTTTTCATACAAATTTTTTAGAAAATGATTTCTCCTGGCATGCAGAGGACCTTTATTTCTTCATTTTGAGTCTTCCTTTTAATTAATTAATTAGTTTGAAGCTACTCCAATGTTCAAGGAAAGGTACACATACAAATAATTAGAATTCTGTAAGTGTATTGTACTAGCTTTATGGCAAAGTGATACCATATCTTTATTCATTTTATGAAGCAGCAACATAACATAGACAATATTGAGTTCACTTTACTAACCTTCTATTTGGGAAAAGAAGCATGTGAAAGGCACCTTCCAAAGGAACCTAGGTAAGTAATAATTATCAATCAAATAATGCAATTATATATGTGCCCCCCAAATAACTAGTATAAAATGGGGGATGTAGTAATGGAAATTTCATCAGTACTCATTCAACACAAGTAGTTGAACAATTAGAAAAGAAGAGGTTGACACATTCAAGCAATTGATATAAAGATAGTGAAATGGCTAGATTGATTGTGGGTTTGGGAATTGTCATGCTAATGTTTATAGCATTGGCAGAGGCGACTCCCCCGGGAATAGCTGATCATCCAAGCCATTCTCATTGCTCAGATGATGAGATTAAGCAATGTAAAAATCTTCCTCATGTCTGTCCCAAATTCTGTCCAAATGGCTGCATAACCGAATGTCGTTCTTGCAAGCCTATTTGTGTTGATGGCCCATCTCCTCCCGAGGAACAAACTCCACCATCGCCATCTCCTCCTAAGGAAGAAACTCCACCTCCATCACCACCCAAGGAAGAAACTCCACCTCCATCTCCACCCAAGGAAGAAACTCCACCATCGCCTTCTCCTCCTAAGGAAGAAACTCCACCACCATCTCCTCCTAAAGAAGAAACTCCACCTCCATCACCACCCAAGGAAGAAACTCCACCACCATCTCCTCCTAAAGAAGAAACTCCACCTCCATCTCCACCCAAGGATGAAACTCCACCACCATCTCCTCCTAAAGAAGAAACTCCACCTCCATCTCCACCCAAGGATGAAACTCCACCACCATCTCCTCCTAAAGAAGAAACTCCACCTCCATCTCCACCCAAGGATGAAACTCCACCACCATCTCCTCCTAAAGAAGAAACTCCACCTCCATCTCCACCCAAGGATGAAACTCCACCACCATCTCCTCCTAAAGAAGAAACTCCACCTCCATCTCCACCCAAGGATGAAACTCCACCACCATCTCCTCCTAAAGAAGAAACTCCACCTCCATCTCCACCCAAGGATGAAACTCCACCACCATCTCCTCCTAAAGAAGAAACTCCACCTCCATCTCCACCCAAGGATGAAACTCCACCACCATCTCCTCCTAAAGAAGAAACTCCACCTCCATCTCCACCCAAGGATGAAACTCCACCACCATCTCCTCCTAAAGAAGAAACTCCACCTCCATCTCCACCCAAGGATGAAACTCCACCGTCATCTCCACCCAAGGAGGAAACTCCACCGTCATCTCCACCCAAGGAGGAAACTCCACCATCATCTCCTCCTAAGGAATCAACTCCACCACCTTCAGTGCCATCCTCATCTCCACCTCCTCCAGCTTATCCACCACCTACTCCTAAACCACCCACACCTAAGATGGTCAAGTGCAAGAACAAGTACTACCCTAGTTGTTATGCTAACCAGCATGCATGCCCTACCTCTTGCCCCGAGAGTTGTCAAGTCGATTGTGTCTCTTGCAAACCCGTTTGTAGTAAGTATAACTACTAATTTTCCTTATTTTCTTGCAATAATCTCTCTATTTATTTCCCTTATTCTTTTTATTTGGGATGTAGAATGTGACCAGCCTGGAGCAGTTTGCCAAGATCCACGATTCATCGGTGGAGATGGAATTACCTTTTACTTCCATGGCAAGAAGGACAAAGATTTTTGCCTAGTTTCAGACCCTGAATTCCACATAAATGCACACTTCATCGGAAGGAGAAACGAGAACATGAAGAGAGACTTTACTTGGGTACAATCCATTGGTATCCTTTATGGAACTCACAAAATCTCAGTTGCTGCACTAAAAACATCAACATGGGATGATTCCATTGACCGTCTAGCCCTTCATTTCAACGATGAACCAATATTTCTTCCTGAAAGTGAAGGCGCGAGTTGGAAGTCTGAAACTGTACGTAAGACCTCAATTACAAGAATCAGCAATACTAACGAGGTTGTCATTGATGTAGAAAATGTATTGACAATCACAGCCAAGATTGTGCCTATTACGGAGCATGAATCGCAAGTACATAACTATGGGATAACGAGTGATGATTGCTTTGCTCATCTTGAACTTGGGTTCAAGTTTGTATCTTTGAGTGATGAAGTGAATGGTGTTTTAGGCCAAACTTATAAGAAAGACTACGTGAGCAAAGTTAAAATGGGAGTTTTGATGCCAATAATGGGAGGTGACAGAAAATTTGCAGCTTCAGGACTCTTCAATGCTGATTGTTCCGTAGCTAGATTTCAAGCAAATGAAGAACAATCCGACATTTTTAAGGCTCCCATGAACTTAGAGCTTCCAAGTTTGAATTGCAATAGCGGAATTTATGGACGTGGAGTTGTCTGCAAGCGATAGACATTATTATCTTACCATTTTATATGATCATTTTATCACAATAAGGTTTGTAAACCAATCTAATAATTAATGGTCCTATACGTATAAAAGAAAAACAAACACTCTTTGATTTTTTATTTCTATGATTAATGATATTGTTTCCTGATAATGGGAATCATTGTGTTATTGAGGGAGTATATGTTCAACGTGTTACTTATAATTGTTTACCTTTTCATTGTGGATTTCAAAGGAAAATAAGACAAACACATTAGAGATGAAAGAGGCTCGATCGAATTCTCAATCTCATAATCATTAAAAGAAGCTATGAGTCCTTTGCGCTAGCCAACAATATCACTATCCATTTTCTTTTAGGGAAAATTACGCGCATATTGTGTATAAACACCTTTTATCTCATGAGCACTTAGGCTACATGTAGTTCATGTTCAAGCATTTGATTTTTGCTTGACATCAAGGATTTCAAAAGCAATTATTGTGTCGAATACGGAAAGCTTGGGAATGCGATGAGTAAAAGATTATTGGTTGAAAAAGTATCTATTATAATGAGTTGACCTTTGCAGCTTAAGATGAATGATAAATAAGCAGCAAAATGTGGTTTGAGTAGATGCATACTTTTGAAATATAGAGACTTTACCATTGAAGTGAATTCGTTATATCTTGTTCAAATGATCAATGAAAATAAGTGCTATAATTAAAAACTAAACATGACTTGCTAATGTCAAAGTATAACACTGTTTTCAAGAAGATCACTATACGATTGCAGACCATCTTGTTAAATTAGTCGTCCGCGGTCAGAATGAGGTCTATTATGACACTTATCAGCAACTTCCTATGTATGGGGTCTAAGGGTCCATTCCAACGGGATAAAGAGTCAAATACCTTTTATAAGGCTCAAATTTGACAAGACAAACTTTTTTGTTAGTTAGCTAGATAGGTTATTCCTTTTATAACAGTTCCAAGTTTTTTTTAAAAATAATATAGAAGAATTATTATACCAAAGTAAGAAAAAAGAAATGAAAGAGGGAATTAATTATTGACATCATGTGGTCCTAACTCCACCTACGTTCAAAATCTTTTTTTTTTTTTTTTGGTTTAGCATTTTATTGGATAAGACGATAATAAAACTAGAGGTACTCTTAATTTCTTCACTTGCAAAATTCCAAATGAAAATTACTTACTAGTACATTTTTTCTATGTGCCACTAAATAAAAGTACAATTGAATCAGCATTTTTTCTATGGATTGTGTGTTGTTTAATCAGCTATTAGCTCCAAGAATCTTCATTAGCTCAAATGTTCATCATCAATCTTTTGGCAATTCACATAATAATATTGTTGGAATTGGACACTATAGAAAAAGACTATCTTCTCCCAATTTGAATACTTGGACATGTAGGGTTGCTGAGACTCCATTTGAGAATGGATCTTTATTTGAAACATTGAGTGCTGAAATAACCCCTCAAACTATTGATTTCTTTGTGAGTGAAACAGAAGGTGATCCTGATTGTCCCACTAAAGGCTATTCTTCAATTGGAGAGGCACTTAATGCATTGTCTCAAGGAAAGGTTGGTGCTTTCTTGTAATGCTCTCACTCTGTCCCGATTTATGAGGCACAAGTTTTTTTTTTGACTGTGATCCTTTAAATATTTTGAATCCTTAATTATTGTGACTTAGTAGAGGTTTGGCAATAGATTTTTAAAATATAGTTGTGTTTGGTGATATTTTCTGTGAAGAATGTTTGGAATAATGTTCATGGTTGAATGTACTTTTCGTATTTGAAAACCAACTTCAAAAGTGAGTTTTTCGAGTTTGAAATACAACTTTCAAGTTTGAATTTAGAATTTTCACAATCGAACATTGATTTTCAAATAAAATGAAGTACAACATGATTTTTGAGTAATCGGACAGGTCAATTAGGTTGGATATAAGATGAAGTCATACCGATTTATCATGGTTTGCATTTGTTTCTAAAATATTTTTTTTCTCTCTTTTTTTTAATAGGTACCTCAAAAAATGTTTTTTAAAATAAATGTGTCACTCATTATACCTGAAAACACTCTTTAATGAGACGGTCACACAGTTCAGCATTCTTTATGACTCGTATTACAAGCTATATAGTAGTAGATTTTCATTTTGGTAGAACTTATGATTGTGAAAATGTGTCAGTTTGTCATTGTTGTAGATGATGAAAGTGGGGAAGTGGAAGGAAACCTTGTCATGGCAGCATCATTTATTAGTGCTGAGGCAATTGCATTTATGGTGAGACATGGTTCAGGCATTATTTCTGTGGGCATGAAAGAAGAGGATCTTGAGCGGCTTAATCTTCCTTTGATGTCACCTGAAAAAGAAAATGACTCTTCTGCTCCATCCTTCACAATCACAGTGGTAATATGATAGTATTACTCTTCTCTTCCTTTCATAGACAAAAAGTGTTGTAATGTACTTATAAGTCACTGAATGAGGTGTATTAATAATAGTGAGATTAGTTATGTTGGGATTACTGTTTTCGTTTGGTGTATTTAGGTAGTTATGTCTTCAATCATGCTTTTTCCGTGTATTAATGACTCCTGTATTGCTAATACCATAATTTGCTATGTATTAATTATTCACCATGTAATACTGGATAGACTGAAGTATACCATCCATATATATAACAATTTTACAAGCTGTTGTGTGTTAGTGATCAAGTTTGCTTACTGAAGTACCATGTTTAATTATGCAAAGGATGCTAAGAAGGGCACATCTACTGGTGTATCGGCTTCAGATAGGGCTAAAACTGTCCTGGCATTGTCCTCTCCTACTTCTACTCCTGAAGATTTCATAAGGCCAGGCCATGTTTTTCCTCTCAAGTATCGGAATGGTGGAGTCTTAAGAAGATTTGGTCATACTGAGGCTTCGGTTGATTTAGTAACATCAGCTGGCTTGCAACCGGTTTCTGTTCTTTCAACTATAGTTGATAAAAATGATGGTTCTATAGCCTCTATGCTCATTTTGAAAAATTTGGCCTTGGACCACAAGATTCCGATTGTATCAATAACTGATTTAGTAAGGTGAATCATTAACATATTTTTCGTATTGCAGCCTTCAATTTGTACTGAAGCTTGAGAAAGCAACAACGGCCAGGTTTCTTATTTGTATGTCATGTTTTACTGCTTGCAGATATAGGAGAAAGAGGGAGAAGCTTGTCGAAAGAACTGCAGTATCTCGTTTACCAACTAAATGGGGATTATTCGAGGCTTACTGTTACCGTTCAAAGCTTGATGGTACAGAGCATATAGCTGTCGTAAAGGTCAGAGATTTCTCCTTTGATAGTATAAACTATTAGTGTTTAGTGAATTTTATCATCTGGAATTCCTTTAAACTTCAAAGCCTTCAACAGGGTGATATTGGAAATGGTCAAGATGTGTTGGTAAGGGTACATTCAGAGTGTTTGACAGGGGATATTTTTGGATCACGACGATGTGATTGTGGTAATCAGCTGGATTTGGCAATGCAGCTGATTGAGGAAGCTGGTAGGGGTTTGGTTATCTATCTCAGAGGCCACGAAGGACGAGGCATTGGCTTAGGCCACAAGCTTCAGGCCTATAATTTGCAAGATGAGGGACATGATACTGTTGAAGCCAATCTAGAGCTCGGCTTTGCTGCAGATGCTCGTGAATATGGCATTGGCGCGCAGGTTAGTGTGATCATGTGCTTATTTTCTACTACTAGAGTAACTAACTATTAATTAATGGAAGAATATGATTTCATTGATTGCAACAGATGTTAAGGGATATAGGTGTTCGTACCATGCGCCTAATGACTAACAATCCAGCAAAATTTACGGGTTTAAAGGGTTATGGTTTAGCAGTCGTTGGACGGGTACCAGTTTTGACACCCTTCACAGATGAAAACAGGAAGTATTTGGAAACCAAAAGAACAAAGATGGGTCACATATATGGATCTGATGTACAAGGACCTATTAAGGCGTCCATCAAACGGAATTTGGAGAAACAAGATCCATCCCAGGAAAGAAATGAAAGTTAAGTACAGATTACTTTCAAGGAGGGAGAGATTTTCATCTGTTTCATACTTCATTCACATTTTTTTTATTGTAGAACTTATTCTTTGAGATATATTCCAATTACAGAAAAGAAAACACACTAAAGCACTCATTATACATAAATACCTTCTTGATACAAAAGCTCAGTGATCTCTTTTTAGCTTAATTTCTGTATCTCATTTCATCTTTTGAGAGATTTTGCAAGTTCCAAGTACTACTATGTTCAACCAACTGAAACAAACAGTACAAGTAAGGAAAAATGTGAGTTTCAATCGATAAGCTTAAACCAAAACGTATACCTCAATGGAGCTATAAACTTCAGGTGACCACAGTTTAAATTAGCTTGGTGTAATTTGTGTTTCTAGTTTGATTGGCCTGGTTTTACTCGGTCAATTATCGCCTCTAGTTTCTATTGATTTATTATTCTGATTCTTTCTTTTTCCTCATTGGTGTTCCTGTTGCAGAATTATCTCTACTAAGAAGGATAAAAGTATAATAACTGAAATGTGTTCTTCATATATTTCACTTCTATGCTCTGAAGTTGTTAAATCTGCTTCCGTTGGCTGAACCAAACGTACCATCACCGACTATTAACTTTCATGGACAACCAGAAGGAGAAGTGAAGGATGAAGCTGCTTAGTTTCTAGCTATGTTCTTATAAGAATTCCTAGTCTCTTATCAACATCTTCTCGTGCACGCGGGCTTGTCTTTGCTAATCCAATAGTATGATATCCATACCAAGTAATTGTTAGACACAATTGGAGATGGAAAACCACTAGTCAGAACTTCCTTCTACAACTCTAGAAAGAATGATTCTGTAATATCTGTGACCGGATATCCTCATTGTGAACTGATCGTTCACGATTGAAATCTTCCCTTCTCAGAGTTTCCAGTAATGTGTTCATAGTAATGGAATGTCCTTGCTGCATTTTGACACTAAACACATTTGATCTGCATAGTGGGCAGCTTGAATGAATCTGAAACCAAGAGTCAATGCATGCAACATGAAAGACATGAGAGCAATAAGGTAAGTGTTTCAGCCATTCACCTTCTTGAAATTCACCTAAGCAAACTGCACAATCTGAGTTATTTGGTCTAGTAGTTTGTTCGTCGTTCTTCTTGAACTGAGTGATTGGTAGTGAATGCATAATATAGGAGTCTAGACCACGACTTTGGAGCTGTGAATCATGATCTTCAAGAATATGATCGTTTAGTTGACGCCTTTGAATTGGATTTCTGTAAAACTGCACAGATAGAAATCCACAGCAACGCATCTGTATAATCTTGAAGTAACTGAATAGCAGAAAGATAAAACAAACTATCCCTACTGAAACAATCAGTAGCGGATCCCAATGCAAAGGTCCAATGCCTGGAGTGGAGTCTGGACTAGACATGCTATTCTGAATTTCAACAGGAAAGACTTCTAAGAATTGAATTGATAGGCCTTTTAAGACAAGTTACTTAGTTTAGGACCTTAGTAATTGGAGAGAATACTAAGTTTAGAAAAACTGTTGAGGACATGTATGGTTGACGGTTATATCAAAGTAAGATCAATATAGACAAGCAAGGTTACTGATGAATCCAAGAATTTAACTTTCGGACGAGTTCATTTAAGTAGAGGTCATAAAGCTTCTACCTTTCCAAGACAATGAAGAAAGAGAATTCTTACTTCAGTTCTCCATCTTAACGATAGAAAATAGGATCAATCAAATTCTATCGCCTTTTGGTATCTTTAATCTTTTCATTATACCAAAGATTCTAGATATTGATAATTTTTTATGTTTGTCATTATATATGCAACAACCAAGAAGCTTTCTTCTGGCAGGCTGCTTCCTGGATAAATAGTATAATCCAACATTTTGCTGTCAGAATAGTTTAAAAAAATGATAAGTCAGTCTACATTACAAGAGTCCAAATGGAGGGTTTTGCTCTTTTTTCACACTTATGGACAAAGTTATTAACTCTTTTGAGTAACATATCAATATCAAGAACCATAATCCAAATTCAAAATTCATATTATTACTGTTCATTGAATAATGTAAAGAAAACTGTAAGGGAAAAGCCAAAGGAGATATGAAATTCATCAAAAGCTAATGCTGTCAAACTCAATCAATATGTTCCATTTACAACGCCCGGAAAAAATGCTTTATACAAAATTTTGAAATATAGTCATCCATCTTTCCACCTATCTTGCTGAGACTCTCCAAAAATGTTACTGCACCCGTGTCACATCCTCCAAAAAGACACTACTTTTAGAGAATCCGACATGCACCCCTCTAGATTATTAAAGAGTCCGAGCAACATAAATTTCAACTTGTCTTAATTAATGCAACCTTTGTCTCTTTCCCAGGCAGACAACACTGTTCATAATTGGACCAAAAGATGTCAACCTCTGATTTTCCAAACAGGAACCAGAATCAGAATTAGCAAAATTTAACATAGATGTAGACACCATTTGTGAAGATCCACATGACATGTCAAAATAAGGTTGAGATGTTGAAGCAGGATAGCTCAAATTTGCACCAAGATTCTGATTTGAGACATCAGATAAACACCCTTTAAAGGAAACTGATGGAATACTAAACGGTGTAAGCTGAGGCGGATTTCGCCATTGAGGAAGTTGTCCTGAAACTAAAAGTGTTTGTAGAAGTGGCCCTGCTTCAAGAACAGACTGCAAAAGTTTCCCTTGTTGAGGCAAAGTTTTCCCCTTAACAAAACTTTCAATAACCAATGAGGCCTTGTCAACTTTTGGGGACAATTGAGTAACACAATTGTCATAAGCTACTGGATTTGAATCAGCTATGTTTATATTGGAAAATTCCAATTCAGGAGATGAAACTGTGTCGAAAAATGATTCGACAGGGGATGAATAGTGTGACTGATAATTGTATGTTTCAGACAAGCTGTTGGATTGATCAGTTATACTTGAATTTGCTTTTGTTGACTTCATCATCACAATAGGAGGATTACTATCAAATTTGTTGAGTAGTTTATGAAGTTGATCTTTTGCTTCATCTCTTTCTTGACAAACCATTTTCAAGAATTGGATTAATTGCTTCACATACTCTTTGTTCTTCATCATTTCTTCACTCATTTGAACTTTCATCTTTTCAAGTTCAAGACTAGTGTAAACAAGTTTCTGTCTCATTTCATCAATTGTCTGCAAGAATTGAATCAAGTTAAAAGAGAATTATGGGAACGGTAGAGTACCTTACCTTTACATTGTAAAGATAGACAGGTTGTTTCCGAAAAATTGACACAAAAAGTTCTTTAGGCATGAACAAGTGTGATGCAAATTTTTAAATTCTAAACAAAAGAAGTAGAAAGCATATGATTCACCATTATATTAAAGAAAATTAATTCTTGAAATTTGTCTATAGATTCTTGAACAATAGAGACCTATATAGAAAATGAAGAAGTATTTAATTCACCTCTTGGTAAGACCATAAAGAAGCCATTTCTTCCATTTTTCTCTAACAATTACTTGAAATATGGAAAATAGAGAGAAATGAAATATTTGAGAAGAATTTGTGAGGGGATAGAAGGAGGGAGTTTTTAGGAGTGGTGGGGTTGTGAAGATTTATATAAAAGAAAGGAACCCAAAAAAGGACAAAATAAGCTCTATTATGGTAACAAAAGTTTATTATGGAATCTTATTGAATTTCCATTAAAATTATAGTACTACTTTAAAAAAAAACTCCATTTCTCTTTATAATTCTCCCTCCCTTGTGGTCATTTGGTCACAATATTTTTCACTTTTTCCTGAGTTGAATTCTGAAAATAATATTAAAATTTTTGTATTTATAGTCAAGCACAACTCTAAATTCTAAATCTTTCTTCTTCTTTTTAGTTTGGGGGTAGAAAAAGGGGAAATAGAGAAGACGATTATAAGTAGGGGTGGACCTAGTAGCCTGCAGACTGCAAGTGAAGTTCGGCCGAAGCAAGTAGATTTTGTATTATTATTATAGTTATATGTATATATATATATATATATATAGCTATTAAATTTAGAACACAATTTATTGTCACTTAAAATCATCATTATAAAATTCAAAACACATAAAGTTAAAATCTTAATTTTCTATTTGTAAGGTAAGAGATTGAATCCTTATCAATAAATTTAAAATTCATATAGTCAACCAACTACATTAAGATTTTTTCTAAATATCATTTTTTATATTAAAAATAGTTTTAAAAATTCAAATTTCATAATTTTCATGATGAAACTTTGCTAGTGTTGGGCAACAAGTTGTGTTTTTTGTTCTTGCAGAAAATTAGGTTCCACTCTTTTAGGGCCCTTTGCCTCTTCTTACCTTAAAAAAATGAAACCTCAAATATATGCGTTGGCACTGCAAAATCTTTTTTACACAGTCAATATATTTTATACGTTTTATTTTTTTTTTCTTACTAAAATGGTTTAATTTGTCTACAAATTCTTTAAGATGTTAAACTTAAACACATATTTCTTTTAGCATGAATGTCATTATTTCGAGTTTAGAATTAAAAAAAAGAAGACGCTTTTTCCCTTTCTAGGTGAATATTACTATTTTCATTTTATTTAACGTGACTCATGTTGACTTACAACGCTCTTTAAAAATATTAAGCTTACTAATTATGCTTATGTAGGTATTTAATGAAGGATATTATTTGATGAAAATAATAAATATTTCTTAATTTATTAAAATAGACAAATAAAAAAAATACATTTTTAATATAAAAATCGAATAAAACAAAATGAAGTGAGTATTAAGGTTTAAAGATAAAACGTGTTCCATAATTTAAATATAGATATGAATTAAATGTTATTTAGCAAGGTAAATAACTCTGGATGCAAAAATGGAACTTTTGATCTTCCATCGCTGCAATAATAATGCTATTTCTCTTTTTAGCTTCTTTATTTTTTTTATTTAATATTTTAAAAATAAATAGTGGATTTTTTCATGTGGATTGGAAACAATTTTCAACTTGAGTTTTAAATTTTAAAGTGAATTATTTCGAGGTAACAATTAAAATGAAATGAAGAATATTCGTTACTTTTTTTCAAAATTTTAATTGCTCCCAATTAATTAAGGATCGTTCAATATGAAGAATGAGATAAGTAGAGATATTGATGAGATATCTCATTTCTTCTTTTATGTGAG